ACCTATTCTATCCCGGATCTTCACGGGTGTCACATAATGCATCCTTTAGGCACACAAATCGTGATAGGACACAAATAATTTAAACTGTGAGACACAAGAAAGTATGACTATTTGAATCATTAAACTTATCAAAGTTGTATGTCACATATAACTGACATGTGTTTTTTCTGGTAAAAAATATATTCTGACTTACTTCAAGTTAATATTAGAATCCCCATCTATAACAGGCTTAAGGTTCCTGAGCATGAGCAATGACACCACACAAACAGAACCTTGGAAATTAAGGGAAGAACTATCAGTGCCGCACATCGCAGCCTTGGACCCTCATATTTAGGCCTGGCACCCCCAAATTTATTTTTGAATGTCCTTTACACTTGAAATGGACAGACCCAGGTTAACCCCTGGGGGTCATTATATCTGGTTTAGTACACAGTTACACAGACAAGGGCAGGTAACTCTGAAATGCACAGAATTACGTCATTAAAGATAATCTAAATGACTGCTGGTATAAAGCAGTAAAAGAAATGGGCTGAACACACACATATACAAGACACGTCAAGCTCATTAAAGACACTGACTTCAAGTTTCCTGTTACTGGGCTGTACTCCGTTTACCTTAATTAAACAAGGTGAGAGGTGTGCCGGCTCCACTCCTTCGTCTATCCAGTTACCAACCCAACTTGGCATGTTCTCTGTGTTATTTTGAGAGCTTTAATATCTGCTTCTAGCATCAATTCAACATGAAGCTTTGTTAAGCATTAGAAGAACAGGAATAATTTTCTCATTTGCTGATTAAATGTACGAACTTCATGGCAGTAGTGCCAAAGACAAAGCTAATCTTTAGATGTGGATAAAATGTTAATTGCATGTGTGTCAGCCATTGGAGATTGTGTTTTGGGTTGTATATGTTTGTGAAGGAAATGGGGTTAAGAGGGATGGGGTTTTAATGGAGTTGGGTGAGAGGGGTTGTAGAGGACATGGAATACAGGAGAATGTCAGAGCTATAGATAAGCTTTTGGTTATTTGGGTATTTTACCCTGGGGTTTAATTTTGATTGGGTATCCACAAGTTTTAGAGGGTATTCAGATTGTATTTACGCACATGTTACTTTAAACCTATCGGCATCTATCAGTATGTTTGTTGCAGAAGCTTTTCCGAATGTAACTGTCGGTAAGTGAATTTGGCGATCGTCTGAAACACCATCATTTTATCTAATAGTTTTAATATACTCATTAATTTTATTTCAATAATGTATTTATAGTTTTTTGTTGCGTGATTGATACACTAGGATTTGACGTCTGCACATTTCAGTTTATTTAATGCATATATTACGCAAATACGCAGCTTATCTCGAGCTCTGGAATGTTAAACAGTCCTGAAGGCATTTCCCCTCTCTTAAGGTTCGTCTTTGATTTAAAGCTGTCATTTTCACCAGGAAATAAAAGTATTACCTTCATTCCAGCTGAAATATAATTCCTATGATCCATTTAATAATAAGTTTGGGGATAGGGTGTTTTTTTTTAGAGACAGATGATTTGTTTAGTCAGGCCTTCAGGACATCATGTATATTTCTGAAAGGAAGAGGCAAATACCCTAAGTTTTTTTAACCAAAATACATTTTCTCAGGACATTTAGTGAACAAATTATTTGATTTCCTAAAAAATTGAGACCATTATTTTATGGAACAAATTTTTTTTGGAAACATTAAGGATGTAAAGGTTCACGACCAATAATAAAGTGTTGGTTGGCTTACATAAGACCTGAGGGTGGGAGGGGGGGGATACGTGAAAAAGTACGACGGAGGACTGACAGGCCTGACTCAGGTCCGCCTGAGGTGTTACTTTTCTGCCTATCCCCCAAGGATTTACTGCTTTCACAAGAACTCCTTCCAGGTTGTAAACCGACTAATAAACTGACATCTTCTTACACTGATGCTCACATTGAAGCACTTGTATTTGATACCTATACCCTTGTTGAAAATGGGATCATCGAACACTTATTAATACGCCAGCACTTGCAGCATCGGCACTGCACGTGCACCAAATGTTGGGCAGGACACGCTGTCAGGAACCATGTGCTCAGCAACTGCAAGCTCATCACCTGCCCCGTTGGCTCTGTTGGAAAACACTGGTTGCAGGTTTGATTTACGACATGGAATGTCTATGTGAAAAAATCGTGACCATTAACGAATCCAAAATTAATTCACAAGGCACTGGTCTTATTCATGATTCAAGGTATAACCATAGGTCCTCCTTGAAAGAAGTAAAACTGCAGGGGTAGTCACTGTAGCTATTTTGTAGCTATATCACTGCAGGGGTTGTCACTGTAGCTATTTTGTAGCTATATCACTGCAGGGGTAGTCACTGTAGCTATTTTGTAGCTATATCACTGCAGGGGTAGTCACTGTAGCTATTTTGTAGCTATATCACTGCAGGGGTAGTCACTGTAGCTATTTTGTAGCTATATCACTGCAGGGGTAGTCACTGTAGCTATTTTGTAGCTATATCACTGCAGGGGTTGTCACTGTAGCTACATTGTAGCTATATCACTGCAGGGGTTTTCACTGTAGCTACATTGTAGCTATAGCATTGCAGGGGTTGTCACTGTAGCTACATTGTAGCTATAGCACTGCAGGGCTTGTCACTGTAGCTACATTGTAGCTATAGCACTGCAGGGATTGTCACTGTAGCTATAGCACTGCAGGGGTTGTCAATGTAGGTATTTTGTAGCTATATCACTGCAGGGGTTGTCACTGTAGCTACACTGTAGCTATAGCACTGCAGGGCTTGTCACTGTAGCTATATCACTGCAGGGGTTGTCAATGTAGCTATTTTGTAGCTATATCACTGCAGGGGTTGTCACTGTAGCTACATTGTAGCTATAGCATTGCAGGGCTTGTCACTGTAACTACATTGTAGATATAGCATTGCAGGGGTTGTCACTGTAGCTACATTGTAGCTATAGCATTGCAGGGCTTGTCACTGTAACTACATTGTAGATATAGCATTGCAGGGGTTGTCACTGTAGCTACATTGTGGCTATAGCACTGCAGGGGTTGTTACTGTAGCTACATTGTAGCTATATCACTGCAGGGATTGTCACTGTAACAACATTGTAGATATAGCATTGCAGGGGTTGTCACTGTAGCTATTTTGTAGCTATATCATTGCAAGGGTTGTCACTGTAGCTACATTGTAGCTATAGCATTGCAGGGCTTGTCACTGTAGCTACACTGTAGCCATATCCCTGCAGGGGTTGTCACTGTAGATACATTGTAGCTATATCACTGCAGGGATTGTCACTGTAGATACATTGTATCTATAGCATTGCAGGGGTTGTCACTGTAGCTAATTGTAGCTATAGCATTGCAGGGTTGTCACTGTAGCTACACTGTAGCTATATCACTGCAGGGATTGTAACTGTAACTACATTGTAGCTATAGCATTGCAGGGGTTGTCACTGTAGCTACATTGTAGATATAGCATTGCAGGGGTTGTTACTGTAGCTATTTTGTAGCTATATCATTGCAAGGGTTGTCACTGTAGCTACATTGTAGCTATAGCATTGCAGGGGTTGTCACTGTAGCTAATTGTAGCCATATCCCTGCAGGGGTTGTCACTGTAGCTACACTGTAGCTATATCACTGCAGGGGTTGTCACTGTAGCTACACTGTAGCTTTATCACTGCAGGGATTGTAAATATAGCATTGCAAGGGTTGTCACTGTAGCTATTTTGTAGCTATATCATTGCAAGGGTTGTCACTGTAGCTACATTGTAGCTATTGCATTGCAGGGGTTGTCACTGTAGCTATTTTGTAGCTATAGCATTGCAGGGATTGTCAATGTTGCGACATTGTAGATATATCACTGCAGGGGTTGTCACTGTAGCTACACTGTAGCTTTATCACTGCAGGGATTGTAAATATAGCATTGCAGGGGTTGTCACTGTAGTTATTCTTTAGCTATATCATTGCAAGGGTTGTCACTGTAGCTACATTGTAGCTATATCATTGCAGGGGTTGTCACTGTAGCTATTTTGTAGCTATAGTATTGCAGGGTTGTCACTGTAGCTACATTGCAGCTATATCACAGCAGGGGTTGTCAGTGTAGATACACTGTAGCTATATCACTGCAGGGATTGTAACTGTAACTACATTGTAGCTATAGCATTGCAGGGGTTGTCACTGTAGCTACATTGTAGCTATATCACTGTAGGGGTTGCCACAGTAGCTACATTGTAGCTATAGCATTGCAGGGGTTGTCACTGTAGCTAATTGTAGCTATAGCATTGCAGGGATTGTCACTGTAGCTATAGCATTGCAGGGGTTGTCACTGTAGCTACACTGTAGCTATAGCACTGCAGGGGTTTTCACTGTAGCTACATTGTAGCTATAGCATTGCAGGGGTTGTCACTGTAGCTAATTGTAGCTATAGCATTGCAGGGTTGTCACTGTAGCTACACTGTAGCTATATCACTGCATGGATTGTAACTGTAGCTACATTGTAGCTATATCACTGCAGGGATTGTAACTGTAACTACATTGTAGCTATAGCATTGCAGGGGTTGTCACTGTAGCTATTTTGTAGCTATAGCATTGCAAGGGTTGTCACTGTAGCTAATTGTAGCTATAGCATTGTAGGGTTGTCACTGTAGCTACACTGTAGCTATATCACTGCATGGATTGTAACTGTAGCTACATTGTAGCTATATCACTGCAGGGATTGTAACTGTAACTACATTGTAGCTATAGCATTGCAGGGGTTGTCACTGTAGCTACATTGTAGCTATAGCATTGCAGGGGTTGTCACTGTAGCTAATTGTAGCTATAGCATTGCAGGGTTGTCACTAGCTACACTGTAGCTATATCACTGCAGGGATTGTAACTGTTACTACCGCCTTGCTGGCATGACTGTTGTAAAATTGATTCACTGAACACTCGGGTACCGAACATGTGCTAGCATGGATAGTGTTGTTGAATTCTGAAACATTACCATTTCTTACCTACAAATTTGCCAAGTGGTATCCTTGCCAACATGGGCCCGGACTTTTGGGGGTCACTCCAGGCGTACTTGCCCATGTCTGTCATGACGACAGTTGGGTTCACTGCATTCACACGGACCTGAAATATCAGGAGAAGAAAAAATAATTTCATGAACAATTCAGCAATTATTTTCTTTCACTAATTCCAGATCAGACTTGTGCTGCTCAAAACTTTACAGCTGAAATTCATAATGCCTTAGCGAAGGATTAAGCTTCCATTCTATGGCAGTTCACAGACTAATACCTTCAGTGCAGCAGGTTTTTCACTTTCATATAATATGACAGAAACTCAATACGTTGATGCTCAAAACATGTGAAGGTGTAATTAAAAAACATGAGTATTTTCTTTCCCCAACCATGTAATTTGTGTCTTGGTGCTGTGACATCATGTTTCATGGTGTCTATCGGCTGAGAGGACAAAATCAATATAAAATTTCCCTGTAACCTCTGTCATCCCATTTTCCATAGAGATTGCGTTTAAAAAAGATAGCTGTGGTTTTAGCTTCATAAATATTCTTGCGTATTAAATTACTTCAACGCAGAATTTTGTGTGACTATTTCTTCACTACAAGATTAATATCACGTTGATTCAGTGCATGGATACACACAATGTTAAGGATAAAACACGACTCCAAGGTTTTGCTTAAACATGTAAAAACGCATTGAAGGGAAACCCCAATGGATGTCGGCCTGAGCACTTTTCCCAAGCTCAAGGTTTTACATTTTCAACCATAAGTCTGCAAGAGAAAGGACAATGTGCAGCACGCACACAACTGTAGTCATTACATGTAAGAGCGAACAACATGTTATCACCTGCTCCGGGGACTCGTCGGAAAAACAGTGGGTTACAAAACTTAACATGTGAGGTTGCAGGTACGATTCACGTCATCGAATTTCAATGTAAAAAAATAATTGTGACTTTTAACCAATCAAAATTCAACATTATATTCATATCAAAAGGCCAGTTTATTAAACTTCAATTGTAAAATCAAATCAAACATAAAATGTAAAACCTCTCACAAGGTTACAATGAGATAGGACGACACCTCCAATACAATAGGCAATAGTGGCAGTAGGCTTATAACAACACATCTCAGTGAGTGGCTACACCTGTATTGGTGGCTCATGGTTAAATACATACTTTTACACATAATGCCTGATCACTTTCAGTCATAATTAATGAAATTCCTAGGGCATCGGGCCCAGATTTATGGCCAATGTCAGTTACTAACCCCAAATTTCATAATTCATGGCCATGTTTTAGTTTTCTAAATGTGACATAATACATAGTGTTACACCTATTGCATTGAATGCAATGCTAAAATACCTATGAAATTTAGAACAAAGTTTGAAACAAATATTTTTTCCTCAATGTGCCTGCCATGGGAACTTAACTGAAAATACTAGACACATCGTCGCACTCTGTCTGGCCATATGCCACAATGCAAGAGGCCCGAATACAGTCATTAGAATTGTCTCCTGTGACAAGGCAAAGTAACCTACGATAACATGATTGTGACTTTTTTGTTAATTACATGGCTACTTGTTTCATCTTCCTAGAGCCATCTCCCGGACATGATGTTAAAACAAACGGCTAACGTTTCAGAATTTGAAATAAGCACACATTAAGTCAAACACAGTATTTATTCTTTCTGTTATGACATTAAGTGACCCCTAATATGTGCATCTCTCTGAAATAAATTTCATACAATTTCCGAATTATCAATCATCTCTGTGATGGACTCAACTGCTAATTCAAATCAATTTGGAAGACTTCTTGGACCAAACCATACCGAAACTCACATCTTCACGACCAAACAACAAAGATCACAGCAAACGTAAAAAATCCTTTATCAAATTTATCTAATTACTAATATTGTAACATTCCACTCAAAGTTTCTCTTATGTTGACCCTGTTCTCTGCTACCCATCAATACAGCCGCGATCTATGATTGAAAATATCTTCCAAACCTACTTCCATGTACTGCAGCCTAACAAAACATGGCTGCGACGCTCGCGATAGCACGCAACCACGAGCTTCCACTCTCAAAGATAATAGCCATAATCACAAGTTCTTACACACAGACTTTGTCTACATCACAGAGTTGCCTCCAACACATACCCATGCCTGTCTGTAGATGGGTTTCAAATATTACCAGGGTTTTTTAATATATCTTGCAATGTTATGTGGACTGTTCTTCATAAGTCTCATTTAGTGAGCTTGATCTTTTATGGTGAAATGTGATGAAATATTGACCACTGGCTTGTTCATAGACGATGACTAGGAAGAAGAAAAAATACACCCAATTAATCAACTCCAGAATTTGAATCAATATATGTTCCACTCAAACAATTCGCAGAGATAACATCAAAGTTTTCATTTGTTAGCGAATCACTTCGTTTGCTCTTGTCTAATGCAAGAAATTATTAAAAATGTTACATCTTAGCCTACTTTTTTGGTATGCTCTTCAACTTTCATTAACTATCTCTATAATTTCATAAATGCGTTGAAGCAAACAAATATATTTATTGAGTTGTAAATCCAACCGAAACAGTAACATTGACTGCCAAAATCATTTACAACACAGCAAGACTGACAGCCACAATCATTTCCAACACATCAAGATTAACAGCCACAATCAAGTCCAAAACAGCAAGATTGACAGCCACAATCATTTCCAACACATCAAGATTGACAGCCACAATCAAGTCCAAAACAGCAAGACTGACAGCCACAATCATTTCCAATACAGCAAGATTGACAGCCACAATCAGGCCCAAAACAGCAAGACTGACAGCCACAATCATTTCGAAAACAGCAAGATTGACAGCCAAAAGCATTTCGAAAACAGCAAGATTGACAGGCACAATCATTTCGAAAACAGCATGATTGACAGCCACAATCATTTTGAAAACAGCAAGATTGACAACCACAATCATTTCGAAAACAGCAAGATTGACGACCACAATCATTTCGAAAACAGCAAGATTGACAACAACAATCATTTCGAAAACAGCAAGATTGACAACAACAATCAAGTCCAGCACAGCAAGATTGACAGCCTCACAAAATTAAACACAATGATGAAGTCCAGTTAGCTTGCAATACGTCCAAACAGCAATGATCAAAATAAAAGTGAAGAATGAGTCAAAACAGCCAGATGGAGAACAGTAAATACATTTCTAGCAGCAACAGAAAACAGCAATACTCAAGTCATGTTGGCAGTAAGATCAAAGTTCCAGTTTGACAGCGACCAATCCGAATGAACAAAGAAGCTTTGAATGAGTGATACAAACAAAAAGATTGAGAGCATCATCCAGTCTAAACAATGAGTGAGTGGGTTCTGTTCATGTCGGTCACTTCATGCCATGTCAAATTACTGTGGGAGAAGGCTCATGAAGCATGACGTCAAGATGTCCATACCCACCAGTCACCATACTAGTGAGGGTTTTTAGTAACTTTTTACAAGACTGTAACTGGTCAGCAACAATGCTAGAACAACAACAACAACAACAATGGGTTTCACTTGGCAGTGCTTCCTGGGAGAAGTCCCATTCGCTGTCTGGGCTACGTGTAGAGGGGGCAAAAGGCCCTGAGGTGATGATGACTGTGACAGGATCACAATAAAACCTCTTCGCTGCATTTTTTATTTTAATCTAAATAATAATAATAATAATAATAATAATCCAGGTAAGCTACAGGTGAGGTCCAGGTAAGCTACAGGTATGGTCCAGGTAAGCTACAGGTGTGGTCTAGGTAAGCTGCTGGTGAGGTATAGGTAAGCTTCAGGTGTCGTCCCAGTAAGCTACAGGTGAGGTATGTGTAAGCTACATGTGTGGTCCAGGTAAGCTGCAGGTGTGGTACAGGTAAGCTAGAGGTGTCTTCCCAGTAAGCTACAGGTGAGGTATGTGTAAGCTACAGGTGTGGTCCAGGTAAGCTACAGGTGTGGTCCATGTAAGCTACAGTACTGGTACAGGTAAGCTACAGATGTGGTACAGGTAAGCTACAGGTGTGGTCCAGGTAAGCTACAGGTGTGGCCCAGGTAAGCTACAGGTGTGGTCCAGGTGTGGTACAGGTAAGCTACAGCTGTGGTACAGGTAAGCTACAGGTGTGGCCCTGCCAGGTAAGCTACAGGAACGGTAAGGTAAGCTACAGGTGTGGTACAGGTAAGCTACAGGTGTGGTCCTGCCAGGTAAGCTACAGGTGAGCTACAGGTGTGGTACAGGTAAGCTACAGGTGTGGTACAGGTAAGCTACATGTGTGGTCCAGCCAGGTAAGCTACAGGTAAGCTACAGGTGTGGTCCAGCCAGGTAAGCTACAGGTGAGCTACAGGTGTGGTCCAGGTAAGCTACAGGTGTGGTACAGGTAAGCTACATGTGTGGTCCAGCCAGGTAAGCTACAGGTAAGCTACAGGTGTGGTCCAGCCAGGTAAGCTACAGGTGAGCTACAGGTGTGGTCCAGGTAAGCTACAGGTGTGGTACAGGTAAGCTACAGGTGTGGTACAGGTAAGCTACAGATGAGCTACAGGTGTGTTCCAGCCAGGTAAGCTACAGGTGTGGTACAGGTAAGCTACAGGTGTGGTACAGGTAAGCTACAGGTGTGGTCCAGCCAGGTAAGCTACAGGTAAGCTACAGGTGTGGTCCAGGTAAGCTACAGGTGTGGTACAGGTAAGCTACAGTCATGGTCCCACTGAGATATGAATGGAATCCATCACAGCAGTATGTTCTAGCTGTACCAGCTTTCACCATAAGCTACTGGCAATCAGTGCAGATGAGGGAACTCTGTGGGTCTACTGACCCAACAACATTCCGACAGAGCTCCCTCTCCCCATCAATTAACATCTGAGCATTTCTAATCCAATAAATTCTTTTTCATTGATAAACCATGAACTGTATAGAAAGCGCTGAATGAGATGTAATCATGGCGAGGAGCTGTGATCGCAGCCACTCGGAGTCTGACAGAAGAGAGGTCACAATCACGGATCAAATCACAGCCCAGATTCAGATGAATTTGACAAGGGCCTGATTGAAGTCATTAATAAACCCTATCCCTAAATCAGCCCCCTATAGCAACTGCAG